GGACAAATAGGGAAGGGAAGGCGTGGTAAAGAAGGGGAAACAAGAAAGAAAAGGTACAAATCAGATTCCTCGTGCTGAGCTACAAAAAAGTCCAAAAGGGCAGTGTTGCCTTCCTAGTTTTTCTCAATCTTAATACCTTTTTTTAAGATATGTGGACTTCAACTCTCAGAATTGCTGGGATTTTTAAAGACCCTGTAATTCTGAGAATTGAAATCACATCCTAAAGTTGCCAAGATTGAGAAATACTGCATTCCCAAATGATCAAGCTTGGCAATCTCTACTTAGATCCCAAAGTTCTGTGAAAGTAACTGCAGGTTTGAATAAACTTACGGAAGTTTAAAGTGTTATTGCAGGTTATTGTGGGGTTTTTTTTTTCCACCCATAAAGCAAACTAGCTTGCTTGCTTGCTTCCTCCCTCCCTCCCTCCCTTTTAAAAAAAGGAAAATCCCCATAACTTTCATGTAACTTTAGCAGGTGGGAATTCAACAGGAGTTGTTTCCTTATTCACATTTATGTGAGTGAAAAACAACCTGATGGTGGAAGTTTTTGAAGTTCTTTAGACAGACAGGGGTTACCAGATTAGGGGGGTGGGGAATCTAATCCACCCTAGATGCAGATAGTCCTCAATTTACAAACACAACTGAGCCAGAAATTTTCCATTGCTAAGCAAGATGCTAGTTAAATGAATTTTGCCCTATTTTTACAACTTTTCTTGCCACAGTTGTTGAGTGAATCCCTGCAGCTAGTAAGTCAGTAACCTGGTTGTTAAGTGAATCTGGCTTCCCCTGATGTGCTTGCTTGTCAGAAGATTGCAAAAAGGGATCACATGATCCTGGGACACTGACCATGGGTGGGTGTGACCACCAGAACTTTGAATCAAGGTCATAAGTAGCTCTGAGCAAGCCTGTCATAACTTTGAACTGTCGCTAAGCAACTGGTCGTAAATTGAGGATTACCTGTATTATTATTTTCTGCATTTAAAATATATTCTGGACAAGGAACAAATTTTCCCTTCCTCCCTCCCCTTTCTTTATTTCTCCCTTGTTCTCTTTTTTTCTCTTTCACTTTCTCTTTCCTTCCCCCCCCCTCTCCCTTTCTCTCATGTTTGTTTATAAAATGCTTCTTTTTAAAGTAAACTTTAAAAATATTTAAAAATATACATTTGATGGTAATATTATGGCACACAATTGAACCAGAATTGCAAAACTCACTTACAAACCAACTTTAAAAAAGATACAAAAATGTGGTTCATAGGATTTCTTTGCTGCTGATAGATAGCACAGGTTTTTTCCCCGCTACTCTTCCCCCTCACCCTTCCATCCAAACGTTTTCTAGGACTTCTCCGATCTGTGGATTTAAAAAACTGGATTTAAATACCCATCTGGCCATCTTCAGAAGCAAGTTACACTTGCGAAATAGCAGGGAAACCTCATTCTCCACGGTCTGAGGGATTTTGAAGTAGGGGGTCTTTTAGGATCGGCTGGAGACAGGATAGTTCTGTGAGCAAAGTTTGCTCTGAAATAGTGGAGAAAAAGGAAGCAAAGGCCAATTGTGATAAATGATCGTTTCCTTTATTTAAAAAGCTGGTGGATAATTAATTTAAAGGGGAGGGGTTTTGTTCTTTGCTGTATACACTTTTCAGAGGGTTCCAAACAAGTGATTTTAGAACACAATTTCAGTCCAGAGTTTAGAACATCTTGTCTCCAGGCAACATAGATGGCCCACCTCCTGTTCCATATTCCACTCCTCAAATCCATGTAGGCCTCTCTCTCTCTCTTCCAGGCTGTGACCAACTCCTTTGCCTGTTAAATCCGCTTTCCCACCAGCTGCTCCTGTGCCTCGGGGTGGTGGGGAGCCCACCCATTTGGGCCAGCCATGGATCCGGCGTTCCCCCATCCATCCCGGGATCCCGTGAGTATCCAGCTTTCTTTCTCTCTCATTTGGAGAAGATGGCACAGTGTCCGTTTCCACCAGGAAGCTCTTAACCTTTTTTCCCCTTCTCTTTCTCTCTCTCCTTATTCGTAGACCCAAGAAGATGGCATGGCCTCCGACGACTTCGACATCGTGATAGAAGCTATGCTGGAGGCCCCGTACAAGAAAGAGGAGGTAAGGATATTAAAAATCAGAAACATGTTAAACCTGTGGGGAAAGTATAACTGTGTTGTATTTTGCCAGGAGTCCAAAGAAAACGATAAAAACAGTGTGTCAGCTGCCTCTTTATGCTTGCTATGAAGAGACGGACTGCCATGAATTGTGGGGAGAGGGAATGAAGGAGGGAAGATTTTGGGGGGGAAAGGAAAGCAAGCGCTGTATCTCCGGGAGATGCTGCCTCAAGGTCACCCAGCTGGAAGGAGGAGGGGACCGCATACCAAACGGCACTTGGATTGACCATTATGAAGACATCTTGCCTGACTTTATAGAAAAATGTTCTTGAGTCTAATCTTCCACCTCTCTAAGAAATCCCCCCTCCCAAATTCCCAGGCCCTGAGTGTGGCAGCCTCTGAAGCCTCTTAAGTAAAATATGGCTTCCGGGGCTGACATTGGGTTACACTGGGTTGGGCAATGAGAGATAGTTAAGGGGGGGTGGTCCAAAGGAGAACTTAGGGATTTTGGCACATGATTCTCAGTTCTGGCTTTGCAATATTGCAATATCCTTGACAGCTAATAAACTATACTTTGCTCAACAAATGGATCCAAGGATCGTTTCTATAGAGAAGTTTAAATTATGGCAGGTCTGACACAATGTAATTCAAGATGGTTTTCAAAATATTCAGTTCCTTAATCCAGATGTTGCATCCCTCAGCTTGTTTTCTAAATGCATAGATATTCCTCTCAAAACACAAGCACCTTCCTTTCTTAGCCTAAAAAGAAAAGGTATATCAATAATTTGTATAAGCTAAAATAAGGTGGCTGCTCTTTTTTTGCTGAATTTTGAGCCTCAAATAGGTTTTCATTAATTAAGACAGTCCTAGCTTATGCCTCCCAGGCAGACCATCTCACCCCCAAGCAGGGCAAAACTCTCTTGGAGGCTGGCAGAAGATGAAGAGGAAGACTATGGTGAGTTGGGGGGGGGGGGCAACTCCCAGTCTTGCTGGTCTCCATTTACTTGAAAGTTAGCCTCGTAAAATCAGTTAACAGGCAGTCCTCAACTTACAGCCACAATGCAGCCCAAAATACCTGTTGCTAAGCGAGATGGTTGTTAAACAAATTTTGCCCCATTTCCTGCCACCATTGTTAATTGCATCCCTGCAGCTGTTAAGTGAGTAACACCGTTGTTAAGTGAATCTGGCTTTCCCAATGACTTTGCTGGTTAAAAGGTTGCAAAAGGGGAATCACGTGACACCCCACCCCCCACCCCCCCGGGACACTGCCACCATCGTAAATATGAACCAGTTGCCAAGCATCAGCATTTTGATCACATGGCCAAGGGGATTCTGCAACAATCGTGTGAAAAACGGTCATAAGTCACTTTCACAGTGGCATTGTAACTTTGAATGGTCACTAAACAAATGTTTATAAGTCGAGGACTACCTATATTGCAAATATAGATTTCTCCCTTTCAGTGTTTGCTGCTTGTGCCAGCCGCATTCTCCAGTCCCTGTAACTGTATAGTCCTGAGTCTTGTGTTTTGCAAAATACTGTGTTTTAAGGACATTCGGTCCAATGTCAAAAGACTGTTTAATCTCCATTAATCCAGCTCCAAACTATTAATCCATAATAATATTTATTGGAGTCACAATCTCTCTGTTGTCCCCCTTATTCTCAGTAACAAAAATCGAGAGAATACTGAGAGATGACATGTGGGGTGTTATATCCTAGCTGGGCCATAGTTGATTGAATCCTTTTTTTGCTTCTAAAAACGAGGACTGAAATTTCTAAGGGCACGTGAAAAATGGAGGGTGCCCTTTGGAGGTTGGAGATCAGGATTCTGCCCTGCAAATGACAATTTAAGCCTGCTTCTAGAATTCTCTTTGTGTCACTTTGCGGTTGCTAGCTAGCAGAATTGCGCTGCCAGTTGATACCGTGTTTAAGTGGAAAAGGGAATTGTGTTTCTGTGCTCACTTTCTCACGGTGCCTCTTTCCTGCTGAATCCACTCTTATACGAGGAGGAGAGCCGTGGTGGTGCAGTGGTTAGAATGCAGTACTGCAGGCTACTTCTGCTGACTGCTTGTTGTTGCCAACAGTTCGACAGTTCAAATCTCACCGGCTCAAGGTGGATTCAGCCTTCTATCCTTCTGAGGTCAGTAAAATGAGGACCCAGATTGTTGTGGGCAAGATGGCGACTAAACTGCTTAGAGAGGGCTGTAAAGTACTGTGAAGCGGTATATAAGCCTAAGTGCTGTTGCTATATTTCTTTCAGGCCCAACCAGGACCCTCAAAGCCGCCAACTGACCCCACCACAGCCCAGGTAATGTCCCAAAAAAACAGAAGGGGAGGAAATAGGGAGGGAGCTGGTAGACTACAGTCTAACCTCCTTTTGCCCTTCCTTGTTAGCCGTCTCCGGAAGAACAAGGAAAAGAAGCAAAGAAGGACAGCGCCCCCACCAGCAGCAATGGGGAAAGCAGCAGGTGAGCCACAAGGGCTGTGTGGTCGTCCCCCCTCCCCCTTCCTTTCTCCTTCCCCTCCATCAGCACGGCTCTCATTTCTGGCTTGCTTTCTCCCTCACAGCAAAAAGAAAAGGAGTCGTAGCAGGAGCCGTGATCACAGACACAGGTAGATAGTCCTGAAGAGAGTACAGAAGAAGTGGGTAGGCTTCTGTTTGGGGTTGGTGTAGAAGCCGAGGGGATCCCCACATAAGGATGCTAACGCAGGACCTTGCTTGTGGCAGTGTGCTGGGAATTCTAGTGGGAGGGGAAAGGAGAGGGGAAATGCTTTGGGGAAGTGAAAGTAACAGCTGTATCTGACTGAGATGCTGCCTCAAGGTCACTCGGCTGGGAGAAGGTGGCAGCTGCAATTCCAACCTACGCTTGAACTGACCTTTATGAAAACATCTTGCTTGAGTCTGTTTAGTCATGGGGGCCAATTAGCAAGGCCGTTAAAGGAAGGAAAAGTTGAACTTAGGGATTTGGGCGGGCAATTCTCAGTTCTGGCTGTGCATTACGGGTAGCCCTCGAGGTAACGGCCACAATTGAGCCTAGCATTCATGTTGCTACGAGAGGGAAATTTGTTAAGTGGGTTTTGCCCCATGGTACGACTTTTCTGACCACATTTGTTACGTGAATCGCTGCATTTGTTGAGTCAGTAATACGGTTAAGTGAATCTGGCTTCCCCATCGACTAAAGGTCGCAAAAGGGGGAGATAACATGGCCCTAGGACACTGCGGCCATCACAAACATGAACCAGTTGGCAAGTGCCTGAAATTTGACCACAGGATCCTGGGGAACGTTACAAAGGTCATATCTGTGAAAAATGGCCATTAGTCCCTTTTTTTCAGTGCAGTTGTAACTTTGGGAATTGTAAGTTGAGAACTACCTGCAGTGCTATTCCAGTTTTTGGCAAAACCAAAGACAAACCATTTGCCGCCTCTGCAAAAGAAAAAAATAGATCATAAAATTGGGTTGCACACCTGATTACAGTACAACCTTTTAAGACCTGTGGCTGTAATTTGCAGGCTCCATTAATGGTCGCCCGTCACGGACTACCTGTATTTAAGTTGTTTTTTTTACAATGGTTGCTGTGGCTATTTTTAAATTCCTGTTAAATTCCCTGTTTAATAAATGGGAAAACTGTCACATGTCATTCCAGGGTTTTGTTGTTGCTCATAGGGTCATTCTGCTTTCCGAAGTTTCTGATTCTTAAAGTTTTGGGCTAAACAAGAGACTTAGTTCCCTCAGTAATCCAGGTGCAGGGAAAACAGCAAAAGCAACATTTCACCAACCTACCCCTGATGCAAAACTCTGATACGGTTGATATTTCTAGCCGGGACCGAGACCGTCATCGTAGGCGCAGCCGAAGCCGGGACCGCCGCAGCCGCCACCGGAGCAGAAGCCGCCACCGGAGTCGCAGCCGGGACCGTAATAGGCGAGTTAGCCGATCTCGGAGCCGAGAACGCCGGCGGGAGGAAAGAGTCCGCTACCGCAGCCCACCTCCCCCAGGGTGAGAAAGAAGGAAACAAAGAAACCACATGTGGGCCGGATCGTAGTATGGTTTTCCTAGATTAGATGGAAACTAATCCAGGAGAGAAGCAGCCTAGAACTAAGGAGACATTTTCTGACAGGGAGAACAATTAATCACTGGAATAGCTTGCCTCCAAGTATTGCGGGTGCTCCATCGCTGGAGTTTTCAAGAAGAGACTCTGGACAGCCATTTGTCCAGAATAGGATTGAAAAGAAGGGGTATCCAAACTCAAGGCCCGCAGGCCAAATCTGGCCCATTGGGTGCTTAGATCCGGCCCAGGGGGCCGCTCTGGAAACAGCGAAGGAGCAGCCTGCGCAAGGCTCTGCTAGCAAAAATGGAGGTCGGGGCACATGTGCCGTCTCCCTCCCCCGGCTCCATTTTGGCAAAAAATGGCCCCCGGGCCGGCCTTGTGCTCCATTTTGGCTGGCAGAGGAGTAGCAAAACAAACTAAAAGCAAAAGAAAACAAAAGGAGAAATGTTTCCCCTTCTTCATTTGAGCATCCAAGAAGAGACAGGAAAGGATAAGGGGAAAGAGGAAGACAAAAAGAAGGGAAGATGGGAAGAAAGCAAAGAGGGGAAGGAAGGAAGGAAATTATAATAAGACGGAGGGAGGGTCTGAGAGAAGTCCTGCCTTTGCAGTTGGCCATCACAGGTGCCCTTGACATGAGTGATATCCAGCTGGCCATGCCCCCGAGGTCAGGTGCAGCCCTCAATGAAATCAAGTTTGACACCCCTGGGATAAGGTCTCCTGCTTGAACTGGGATTTGGACTATAGAAGATCTCTAAGGTCATTTCCAAACTATTCTGTGTTCTACGAACGGCGATCTGAAACCACAACCCAGGAAAGGGAATTGATTGAGCCTTCTGGGATTGTTCTCGTTCTGCAGTTCCTAGCCTCCCAACTTGGCAAACATTTTGCAGTGTGAATGTGTAAAACTCCTCGTTCACTTAGGGAGTGTTTGCAGAGCTACCAAATACTCTGGTTTCTTCTCGGATCCATGCCACTACGGACATTGGTTGGGAGTTTCCGAAAGGAAATTGTCTAAATCAGAGGTCTCATTCTCGCGGGCCAATTGCGGCCCGCAGGACGATATCCTGTGGCCCCCACCGTGATATGAAAGTATAATATTAGTGTATAATATAAATATAAAGTATAATATAAAGTATAATATTATGCGGCCCAGCCTCACCCAGACTCTGCCTCCAGCGGCCTCCAGGTAAATTGTGTTTGAGACCCCTGGTCTAAATCGATGTAGCTTGAGACAGAGTGGTGCATTGGTCTAGAAGAGGAGCTCTCGCTTCACAATCAGGAGGCTGTGAGTTCGATCCTAGCTAGAGGCAGATATTTCTCTCTCTGGGCACAATGAGAATATATCTGTTGAACAAAACTCCACATTGGCGACAGGAAGGGTATCCAGCCCATTAAACACTCTGCTAGCTCCATTCAGTTGCCCAGACTCCACCCCACAAGGGATTACGGGATTGTTAAACAACAAACATTATTTTGGGGATTAACCCCCCAAAAGGGGACTTATTACACGAATTAAAAGTTCTTGATAGACGTGAACCTCATGTGACCAAATGTCATTTCCCGTAACTTCTGGTCAGGAAATCGTGTTTTACAATGGTTTGTCTGAAAACTAGCATTTTTGCAGTTTTTGGGCAAAACTGCATCCATAGCAAAGCATTGATTTGCTTAACGGCCATCACAAAAAACATGGAATCAAGTCAGTCACTTAACTGACCTGTTTTAACAACCATTGTGCCATATGACCATAATGGACAGGCCCGGTTACGGTGATAGGTCATGGGCTTTATATCTGCAGTGATCACCTCATTATGCCATGATAAGCCAGGCCAGTCGTGCTGTGTAAGTAACCCTTGTGGCGATCAGGTTGCCACTGTTGAAGTTGCGATCTGGGCTTGTGTTCTGTTTCCCCCGCAGACGACGGTTTGGACATAGCAAGAGTCCCTTGTTCCGAGAGAAAAGCCCCCTTCGGTGAGTATTGTGACATGGATGAGGGTGACAGCTGAGAGGATCCTTAACGTGCCTCTTCTCCTCCCCGGCATCCAATTCTGGGTCTGAATCACTCCCCTTGTTTCCCAACACAGGGAGCCTCTGGGCAGCTTGAGCCCCGAAGAACGCGATGCCCGCACTGTCTTCTGCATGCAACTAGCTGCCCGTATCCGACCTCGAGACCTTGAGGATTTCTTCTCGGCTGTTGGCAAGGTCATATTCCCCTCCCTTCTCTCTGGCTTTGGCGAATTCTTACTTTGCCCCAAGCAAAGGTGGGCAATTCTGACTTCTGGCCCATTCTGGTGCTTGGTTCCTATCTAGCACAGACCGTGATTGCAATTAACTGGGCTAGTAGGTTCCTTAGACTGGTTTTATCCTTAGTTTGGGCTAGTGGTTACAGCGCTGGTTTAAAGACCTGGCGATCATGAGTTCTAGTTCCATCTTAGACACAAAAGCTGTCTGGGCAAATCACCAGGAGACGGTGAGCTCTAGACCCACCTTAAGTCACATAAACCAGCTGGGTGACTTTGGACTAATCATCAGGAGACTGGGAGTGCTAGTCCCACTTTAGGCATGAAAGCCAGTTGCGTGACTTTGGATTAATCATCAGGTGATTGGGAGTTCTATTCCCACCTTAGGCATGAAAGCCGGCTGAGTGACTTGGATTAATCATCAGGAGACTGGGAGTTCTAGTCCCACCTTAGGCATGAAAGCCGGCTGAGTGACGGCCAAACACCAGGAGACTGGGAGTTCTAGTCCCATTTTAGGCACAAAAGCCAGCTGGATGACTTTGCACCAGTCTCTCTCTCTCTCACCCCACCCTACCGGGTTGTTGTTAATGGGGAAAATAGGAGGAAGGCATATTGTCTACATTCACTGCTTTTGCTTTATAAAAAAAATAAAGCTGGAACGAATCTAATATCTAATAAATAAAACAATAAAGAAAACCCAGGCGTAAACATTTGACAGCCCGGACTCTTCCGCTAACGTTCTCCGCAATTGTCCCTTTGGCCAGGTGCGTGATGTACGGATCATCTCCGACCGGAATTCCCGGCGCTCAAAGGGCATCGCTTACGTTGAGTTTTGCGAGATACAGTCAGTGCCGCTGGCCATCGGCCTGACGGGGCAACGCCTCCTGGGCGTACCGATTATCGTTCAGGCTTCCCAGGTTTGAAAGCTTTTTATTTTAAAAACAACCCTAACATCTACAAGTTGAGTGCTACCTGTGCTCCTTTAAAAAAAATAAACAGTGGGTTATTTCTGGCTGGGTTTTTGAAGGCCCCTCCCTTCCCCAATCTGTGTCCTTAGGCGGAGAAGAACAGGCTGGCAGCCATGGCCAACAACCTTCAGAAAGGCAGCGGGGGCCCCATGAGGCTCTATGTCGGTTCCCTTCACTGCAACATCACCAAAGAGATGCTGCGCGGGATCTTCGAGCCGTTTGGCAAGGTAAGGTGGGAGCAGGACAGAGAAGGGGGCGAGAGGGATGGATCCCCAGAAGGGGATGTCCTTGACTTTCTAACGGGGGGAGGGGGCGCCTTCTCTCTCTTCTCCGTAGATTGACAGCATCGTGCTGATGCGGGACCAGGATACCGGACAGTCCAAAGGCTACGGCTTCATCACCGTAAGTTGGGTGGATTTTCTTCCCCACGGGGCAGAATGGAGGTCGAACTCTGCTACTCTTTTTTTAATTCATTATTTACTTATTTGTAAAGTTTATCGGCCACCCATCTTGCCATAGAGTAACTCTGGGAGGTGCGCGTGTGTGTGTATGTATATATATATGGTATTCAGCTTTGTTCGGGTATTTTCCCACGTCATTATGGGACGTGGGAAATGACGTGGGAAAATACCCGAACA